AATAATAATAATAATAACATAAAATCTATCCAAAGCAAATATCCTTCTATTGAAAGTTACTACGATGAAGCTATTAAAAGGAATTTGTGCCTTTTTTGTGTCCATCCAAAATTAACATAGGCTTTGAAAAAACCATAAACAATGAAGCAAACATAAGAAAATATTTGGTCCTCACTGACGTAAGAATCTAATTTCATTTTTATCAAACACCCTTTACCATTTCAGGTAAAGAAACAGAGTTTCCCTGATATATATATACATACATATACACATACACATTAGGACATAGTTCAACTCAAACTACTTAAGCCTTTATCATCTGCTTGCTTTTCTTTTCTTTTGTTCTCAAATTATAAAAACATGTTTTTGTAGTAACAAAAAAAATACGCGGGTTCATTTAGGGTTATATGTTGTTTTTGTTTCGAAAATAAAGAGGTTATTATCATTAAGTAGCTATTTTAAAGATTTATTTATGTTTTCTTTCTTCCAAACAATGTAAAGAACTCTTTAAAGTAGCTACCTAATAATTATAACCTTTTTATTTTCGAAACAAGGGGTGAGAATGCAATAAAATAAATACTCGTATGTATGTATGTGATATAGATAAATAAGTACTCATGGGCACTTAAGCGGCGCTACCATTTTCCATTAATTTCCATTATTTGCCTCTATTTTCGCGTATTTCCTTTTCTTCATTCTACTTGTTATTGTATTCGCTTAATGAGTTTGTTTATGTACGAGTACATACATACATATGTACATCCCTTTTGTTTTTCTCTGTTCTAATTTTCGCTCTTTTTCACAGCTTGTCATTGCGAATATTTTACAAACTCGTAAACATCGTGTTGTTTTTGTTACACCAACAATGTCGTACGAAGTCCATTTGAGCAGAGAGCAGGCACTGCAAGGACTCGAAATTGAGGAGCCGATTGTTGCCGATCTGGTAAGTACAGGCCTATTTATTAGTATATGTACATACATATACATATATACAAACATAATACGTAATCAATATATTTAATTACTCAAGCAATATTCAATTAGAACAACTCTAATTGACCGTTTCCTTGTCACGAACATTTGTACTTAATATTCTTCTTCTTTTATTTGGTCATAAATAAACGGGGTTTGCTTAAAAAATAAGCTTCGTTCATTTTTACTGTCACGAAAGATGTTAAAATTTTGTGTAAAAAAATTTGATTGAAGGCCGAAAAAACACATGAAAAGTTCACTGTGACATGCGCTGAGTGTACGCCGAGCCAAAAGATCCTTCTGAACGTAAGAGCAAATCAGTAAAATTGCTCGGGAATTGTTGAATGATGCCAGTCATGTTTAAGATTAGTGAAGAGTAATGTTTTTTATGTTATGTAATCTCCATCAACTCCCAATCGTGCCAATGGTAGATACCGGGAAGGACCTAGGCCGAACAAAGCACATCGGTTTCCGTCAAACGTCAAAGTTTCGCTCACTGTTTTCTTCGATTATCCTTATGTACATCAGGATTTTTCGTTATGCTTTCTAACCATTGAAGTGATATTTAGTCGAGGCCCTTCCCCAATTTGTCTTGTGCAGCCGCCTAAAGCCGCCTCCGAACGGCTGAATGGTTTATATGAAGAGCTTTTTTTGATTTCATGTGAAAAATACAGCGATTGACATTCTCCAACCGCAGTCGTAAGACATTTCTTTTAATTTAAATTATTGGTTCTTAAATTCACTTGTAGATCTAAACGACGTTAGTGACAGCCCTTGACTGTTCAAAATCCATATTAGCTCCTGGTATCCTGAGAGTAACATCAATGCGCGTCGGTCTACACCAAGCCGACACATAGATCCCCTAATCAGGGAGGTCAATTTAGAGATCCGGTAAATTGGTGAAGAAAAAAGAAACCCTTAAGACCTATCAATCACTCCCAGGGCACAACCAAACTATTCTGGTAGCACTAGCTCTGTCGGAAGCATTTGCATTTATCCAAAGTGGATGAGGATGCTGAAGGCCCTGCCGTAAAGGCCGGCGGAGCGTTTGAACGCTGGCATCATGGGGCTACGAAACGCATGGCCCAATCCCGATGTATCTTAATGCCTGTGTAGACCTTGAGATGACTTCAACCACTGCCCGATGGGTCTTACGGCCTGTGTAGACCTTGAGATGTCTTCAAGCATTGACCGATGTATCTTAAGGCCTTGAGATTACTTCAACCATTTCCCAACTAACCGAAATGGAGTCTTCTGTGGCGAGCGCAGCAGAAATAATCCGCCGAAACAGGGTTGCTTTCGACGCCAGCCCTGATGAGAAGGATTTGGAGCAGCCCAGCGGCGAGATGTTGCCCTGTTGATGACCTAAACGGGATGACGCCGCCGAGAGGGTAAAATACTCCAGTGCGTGGAACCGGCTGTCGTGAGAGCTGCGCAGTCCGCACCTCGTACCGAGTGATTTCCATCTGTTCCTACCTACGGCGAATGATTTGGCTGGTAAGGAATAGGTCTCAAGAGAAGCCTGTAAAATGGATTGTCCCAAGTTTTTGCCATATTTTAAATAAATCGAATAATTCTGACTAGGATAAATAAAGTCTTGAATACAAAAATAATGGATAGTTTTTTACTACACCCTTATTTCGTAATTTTTAAGTATTCAAATTGTTGTTTTCAAGAAAGAAAAATAATAATTCAAAATTTGAAAAAAAATTTTATTTAATATGCTATAATATATTTTTGAAAATAAAAAAGAAAAAATCCATAAAATAAAGGATAATTTTTTCCGTAATATTTAAGTCCTTCAATCACAAAATGAACAAACAAATTTTATTTACAAAAATCTTGCCGAAACAAAATCTTTAGGCACAATTTATTTTAATGTCCTTTTTTCACTGTTTTTTTCTTTTAATTTGCATATTTATGTGGTATGTATGTATGTATGCTTAGGCGCAGTTTATAACACGATATGTACCTACCTGCTATTGTTTTCGAAATAAATCCTTATGTTAGGCGTCGCAGTGCCTTGGCAGAGAAAATGACGATTTACTAGTATAAATAGCAGAGATTATTTGCAAGACTAGCATTAACAAGTGTTTAGCTGTTCAAAACATATCACAAAGTTCTTCAAACTAGTTTTCCAAAACAAACCAAAAAAAAAATATATATACGAAAAATGTATGATCGTTTCGAAATAGTTGAAAATTGTGACAATATTGAAAATGTTGAAGACATTGAAAATTGTGACATTATTGAAAATGTTGAAGATATTGAAAATTTAGAGGAAGCTCCTCTACTAATGGACGAAATTTACGTATTCAGACCAGTTCAACAGGTACATATTCCCGCAGTACAACGTTTAGCCGAGGCTGCTGCTAGAGTTGTCGCTCGCGATCGAATGGCCGCTCGGGAACGAATGGCCGGTGCCGAACGATTAGCCGCTGGGGAACGCGTGATCGCTCAGCGTGAAATGGCTGCTCGCAACCAAATGGATGCTATGAATGTTGACGATAATGACGGCGATGGTTATTCCGATGATGGGTTTTCCGATGATGAAGATATGAGCGATAGTGAAGAGAGTGATAGTGAAGATAGTGACTGTGTGTGATCGTATGTTTAACATTTAGAAGATTGCTTAAGAGCATCATGAATATTCTAAAATCATATTATCAAATCATAAATCATATCAAACTAATTAAGCGATTACAGTTCACAGTTCAGTTCAAAAAATCAATATTTTTTATTATCATTAACCTCAAACGAAATGTTATACTAAATTTTCAGGTGGAGAAGTGAGAAAAAAAATTTAATAATAAATTAAATCCTTTTTTCTCAAGCAGAAAATTATGTAACCCCCCTAATTTATAACTGAAATTGTGTAGTATATAAGTGTGCATAAATTATTATATTCAATTATCATATTGTAAAGCATGAAAACTCGTCAGTTAATCAGTTCTTCAGGGCAAAATGTGTGATCTCATTAAATTAAGTTAAAAAATAGCAGCGAAAAACTTTGTACGTTTAAACAGCTGATTTAGATTTTTATGTTCTCTGTTTTTATTTTTTCAAATAATAAAATTGTATAAACCAACCAAAACTTTTTCTCCTTTATTTTTTTTTATTATTTTTAGCTTAAAATTTTAACGAAGTGAGCAAATTTACTCACTTTGTTGCAGTTAAGTGTAGAAACATTCTTGAAATTATGCTTAATGCACATTAAGCTAGTTAATGCACTTTAAGATAATTAATCTTCAATAGGCTACTTCATGCACATGAAGCTACTTAATGGACATGATGCTATTTAATGCATACGATGCTACTTAATGCACATGAAGATAGTTAATGCATATGAAGCTACTTAATGCACCTGAAGCTAGTTAATGCACCTGAAGCTAGTTAATGCACATGATGCTAGTTAATGCATACGAAGCTAGTTAATGAACATGAAGCTACTTAATGCACCTGAAGCTAGTTAATGCACATTAAGCTACTTAATGCACATTAACTTTGCCGTCTGTCATTCCTTTTTTAAATTTTTTTTTATAAATACTCCTATACACGGCGAGTTTTTCGAAAAACATTTTGCTTAAATAAAACAAAAAACTTCGGAATTTAGAAAAAGTGCCTATTTGGAGCAATTTTTTGATGTAAGAGAAAAATTATTAAAGCAAATGAAGCAAGAGAATTTTAACTTATTACGTAATATGAGAGGACAGATGTTGACTTGAATCTTATGTTAAATGTTAAAAAATTGGGTGAGACATTCATTAGTATTTTTTTTTTATGAAATTTAATGATTACATACTGCCTAATGCTTCGTCATAGCGAGATTCAAATTAAATGTTCCATGGTTTTTGACATTTATTTTGAATTTCCTTAATTATTTTCCCGTGTATCATTCACAATAGCACATTGTTTTGACTATAGACATTTTCTTTTCTGCCTTCAGGGCACCGAAAATTAAAACAAAGGACACAAATGCGTTAAAGAGGATTGTACGACGTAATAAATCTTGAGATTTCCGTGCCCTAGATGCAGCAGTTTGGTTATTGACATAGTCATTGAAATGAAAATGGACATCATCAGTTAAAATGATTTTTCAATTAAATTCCGGATCTTTTTCATACATTTGAAAAACCCAATCAGCAAAGACGCGACTTTGTTGAGTTCTTGTATTAACTGAACTTTATAAGCTTTAAAACCCTAGTCTTCAAGCAAAATACGGTGTAATGACGTCTATGGAAGTCCCAATCCCAAAGAACGAAAAGGAATGAGCAACCCAGGCCCTCCTTCAACACTTTGGGCTACAGCAGCAATATTCTGAGTTGATCTTGAGCAACGTGCGCGTGTTTTATTCTTCACGTCACTAACCTTTGCGAACAGCTCGTATTATTAACATTTAATCCTAATAAGAAATACCATGAAATTGTTGTGGTCATTAATGGTAGAAAGACTTTGGCATAACCGAAGACAGCTCTTCTTTCTTCTTTTTTCCCCAAAATGGGTAATGCCCCACATACATATATAGGTAAAATAAAAAGTTCGTTCGGTTTTTTTTACTGATTTTCCAAAATATGACAACTTTACGTACATTAGCCCGATTTAAGTCAGATATGCGCCGTATTGTTCGCCAACGAGATGCCAACTTCATTATACCCCTCCCGTAGAATGCTGCGTGCCTATTGGCAAAAAAGTCGGAGAGCCAATTTTCACAGGCCTCTCTTGAGGCCAACTTCTCACCATTAACCGCGTTCGCCATGGACTGGAAAACATGATAATCACTTAGTGCCAGTTCCGGACTACAAAGTGGGTGCATTAGAACCTCCCATCCGTGCGCTTGGAGCTTCTGGCGCGTCACCAAAGGCGAGTGTGGCCTGGCGTTGTCCTGATGAAACACAATTCGGTCTCTGTTGATCAAAGATGGCCTCTTCTGGATGAGTGCTGCCTTCAAGCGGTCCATCTGTTGGCAGTAGAGGACCGAATTGAGCGTTTGGCCATAGGGGAGCAGCTCGTAGTAGATGATTCCTTGCCAATCCCACCAAAAACACAGCAAAACCTTCCTGGCCGTCAATACGGTCTTGGCCACCGTCTAGGCCGCTTCCCCGAGCTTTGACCACGACCGTTTACGCTCGATGTTGTCGTAAGTGACCCATTCTTCATCGCCTGTCACAATCCGTTTCAGAAACGGGTCGACTTTGTTGCGATTCAGCAGCGATTCGCGATACGGTCCATCATGTTTTTTTGCGTTAGTTCGTGTGGCACCCAAACAGCGATTTTCTTTTTGAATACAAGGTTATGCAAATTGTTTCAAACGGCTTTCTGGCTTATCTGAGGTTCCTCAGCAATTAAATAAGTGCCACGCGTGACGGTCTGTTTCCACTGTTTCCATGATTTTATCGCAATTTTCGACGACAGGCCTCCCAACATGGGGTGCATCTTTGACATCGAAACCTAGCAAACCACTTTTGTGCTACACGTTCGTTTACGGTATCTAATATTTTTACCTAAATACAACAACACTATCTACGTATGTATGTATGTAAGTATATTTTTCACAACTTTTCGTTTTTGTTTTGTTCTGCTTCGCAGGTGAAAAGGCACAGTGAGTACATAAATGGCGCTTCAACGAATCGACAATGACCACAGTCGATGCGACAAAGACGTCACATGCAGGTCGATTGTCGCGTGACAACGCCACATTTTTGTCGTCTATTGAATCCAGGACCCGGCGTCGGACGTAAATATTAATGATTAAGGTAAATGTGTGTGCAAAATGTGTATGTATGTACGTATATCTCTACATACAATATATGTACATACATATGTACATATATAATTAAGAATAAAATGAGAAAAATATGAAGAAAAAACATTTGGAAAAGCAACAGAGGCAAATAGTTACATACATACATATGTATGTATGTAATATATGTATGTATACTATATATGTATGTAACATCGATTGAGAGTTATATCACAAATAGTTTGTAACAACAACTGCAACAACAACAACAACAAATTAATGGAGAAACTACATATAAATTTATCTACATATATAAAAATAGTTTTTATACAATAAGCATACAACATATACATATGTATACATATAACAATATATAAGATCAACTGTAAGTTTCATATTTTATACATACAAATGTATTTAGTATACAAATATATTAAAACCAAGAATCAAGTAACAAGAAACGAGAAACACGAAAAAACAAAAAGCAACCCTCATATCTGACTCCTCGAAGAATACCTCTATGTGTAATTTTTTTGTATGGGCACATTTAATGAAACATTTTAAGTTTCTTTCTTTTTTATTTTTGCAAATCTCTTTTTAACTGAATTTTCGGCATAGTAAAACATACTAAAATCAATTTCATTAAGAACTACGGCAGTCTTAATATACGAGTATGTATGTATTGGATGAGTGCATAAGTTCGTGCCCGATTCCGCTGGATGCCGTTCGAATCGTTTGAGAATGGCGCTCATGAAAGAAATATATACATATTATGTATTGTTGGAAAGGTGACAGTCCGAACTGTAAATCAATCATAAAATAACTTCATTTTCATTTGAGTTACTTAGTGAAAAGACGCATGGAAGATGGACAACGAAAAAGATCATATGCGTCATATCTCCCTTCTGCTTTTTTGCTCTTCACTCAATGCTTTATAAAAAGTGTTACAGTGATCGGATTTAGTTAAAATATGCGCCGTTTTGTTCGATGATCTGTTTCCATCTAGACGGCAACTTCATAATACCTTCCTCGTAGAAGCCCCCCTCCTTATTTGCGAAGAATTCGGACAGCCACTTTTCA